CCGCTCTGTGTGTGTGCAAGTGGCCGGGTGCGCGGGTGGCTGCACCGGCGCCCACGCGCGCGGGGGAGGGCACCCATGTGTGCAGGGCTTGCGTGCGCCCGTGTCAGCGTCCGCGTGTGCGTGGGGCTGTGTGAACACGGGGTTTTGTGCAGGTGCAGTGGTATGTGCGTGTGTTGTGTGTGTCTATGCGGGCTGCCTGTGCCCATGTGTGTGCAGGGGTTGTGCACGTGTATGTGCAAGTGCGTGTCGCTGTGGGGCAGAGGGTCTGCGCTTGCATGTGGGTTCACATGCAAGGGGGTGCTGCGTGGCCATGTGCACGCACGCAGACTGAGTGTCCGTGCACTCGTGTCTGTGCCCAGCGTGCCCGTGTGTGTGTGTGCAGGACACCCGTTGTGTGTGCTCGGTGTAGCTGCGTGCCGGAGGTGCCAGCTCACCTGCATGCAGGTGTGTGCACGTGTGCAGCCAGCAAGAGGAGCTCTGTCAAATCCCACGTGTGAGCACCAGGCACAGCTCTGTGGCCAGGAGCAGGGTCCAGCAACAGGCTCCCTGGGCCCTACTGCCTGGAAGAGGGAATCTAGGTGCCTTGGGACCAGCTTTGGGGAGCCTTTTCCAGGTCGATCTCTGCCCAGGACTTCCCAGGGCTGCTGCGTGTCCATTGGGAACCACTGACTATGGCAGAGAGGTCCCTTGATGTCTGCAGGGTGATGCTGAGAGATGGAACCTGCTGCTGCCACTGCAGGGGACTCCGGGACTCCGCATCCAGGCGGAGCGCTGCTCTCCCACAGGTTCTGGCCCTCTTGGATCCCTGGCTGCTTGCAGAGTCCTCCCAGCACAGATGGGTAAAGGCCACAGGGCAGGAAATGTCCCAAAATGCAGCAGAACCACAACGCCTGGGTCTGTGATCCAGCCCTGTCCTCGCAGCCAGGCTGGTGGCACCCAGTGTCCTGCCTTACATTACATTAATAAGTGGGGAAACTTCTCCTGCAATTGCTCAAATATAATCTCAGATTGCAACCTCTTTTGGTAAAAGATGATGATAGCAATAATCAGAACTGTTAAAAAATGCCGCAGGTCTCATGTTAGTGAGCACTTGGGGAGAACTCACGGCAGCTTCTTGGTTAACTCAGCTAAAGCAAAGACTCAGCAGCACCGGGATGAACTGGCCCTGCAAGCGTGCCTGTTTGCCCATGTATTCTCCCTGGTGTTTGTGGAAAAGCTCTGCAGATAAAGCAAACTGAAGGGCAGAAGCTGCCTTGGCAGGAGAGGAACAGGCTCCTCTCCGGCACGGGGACACGTTCCCCAGTCGCTGTATCGGGGTCGCAAGAGGTGTCACCCCCCCATCAGGAGCAGGTCTGGCACCTGCTCGAGGACAGAAACACGTGTCCCCTGTGGGCCTGGTGCTACGGGAAGGGTGAGGGGCACCTGCAGTGGGAACAAGCAAAGGCAAAAGGATAAAGGTGCCGGGGTTGAGCAGGGGCTCCGCTCCACTCGGCCGTGTTTGGGGCGCTCTGCTCCCGCCTGGCTCCTCTGCCGCTGCGGAGCTGGTACTCCGGCCACGCAGCCTCATTCCTGGTTGCTCGCTAATGCACTTCTGTAACGTGGGATTATATAAGCGCTTGGCATTTTGTGGTTTAAGAAATATCCAGGAAGCCTCTCTGCGCGCTCATGCCTTTGACCCAGCCGCGAGGCTGAAGGCAGCAAGGAAAAAGCCAGCGACTCCGCCAGAGCGCCGAAATAGCCCAGCACAGGTGAAAACCAGCCCCTGTGCCGTGTGCGGGGCTGCCACGCGACGGGGCCGCTCGTCCTGCAGGACCCGTCCCCACGCGTGGGGGCCCCGCGGTGCCGGTGCTTGTCCAGCCCTCAGGTGCATGGAGAGGGGCCTGCAGCTCCTTGCAGATCCTGCTCCGGCCCGGAGCTCCCCTGCACTTGCCTCCCGCTTCCTGTTCTCTTGAATAATTCATAGTGGTGATTAACCGTGCTGCGTCCTGCCCCCTTTCCTGCTCACGCATTATCCAGGCACTTTTTTTTTTTTTTTTTTTTTTTTTTTTCTTTCAGAGCTATTAGTTATTCCTAGCGGTTTGCTGAGTAATGTCTGCGCTGCTCCCCAGGCTGCGCTTTGCTCATTACGGAATAACGGGGGTGCCGGAGGGATGGCCGGGAGCGCTCCTGTGCCACCCTGCAGCCCTGGCCCCGTTCTGCTCCCTGACCCGTGAGCCTGGGGTTGGCCTTGGGCGTCCAGTGCCGCTCTCCAGGTTTGGATGGGAGCGTGGGGGAGATGTGCCCAGAACGGGACACTTGGGTTGAAGGGGCTGGAGGTGCCTGCACTCTGCTCCTTTTCCTCCTGCACATCCGAGCATTCCCAAGGCTCAGAGCTGCTCGCTCTCTGCCCAGGCATGGGATGGGCACTTCCTGGTCTCCTGGCTGAGCATTCCGCTCTCCCTGGGATGCCATGGCATCTGGATGGGG